GTAGCAGTTGTTTACAGCATACTGTAGCCCGCTGAACCATCCGTACTCCTTATCTCCCCATCCCAATTTGAATCGAAGATAGGAGTACTGTATGTCCATCAGCCCTACAAAGCTCAGATGATACTCGAACTCCGACTTGGCTGAGTAGCTTACCAGCGAATATAAGAAGTTCTACTCCAAAAGCCAATAAATTCAGTCCCAGAAGAAGTCGATATCGACGGTCGGCTGTGAGGACTCTTCGGTACTCGTTCAGTGCTTGAATAGACTTCAGGACTAACTCTGCAGTACAAACGCTGAGAAAAATTATAAGTGTGGAGACTCTTTCAGTATATGCTACATCCGTTAACTATTTACCATGCTAACTAAGAAATTAAAAGTATACCCCCACTGCTCGATTGAAGGTCATCTTCGGGAATAGTTGAATCCTCTGCGCATATCAGAATATAGAAGAAAGCGATCGTTTGTAAAACTAGCATCAACAAAAGTGTACTGAATACCAAATGATCTGAAAAACTGAACGGATTTCATGATTACGTTCAGGTCGCAAGAACAGATCGCAGCCCATAGTTAGTTGCAGCTTCCCCATCTAGTGGGATCTTGCAGACTTTCACTCATGCTCTAATTCTAGGTTGTCTGGCCTTATTCAAGCTTGCCTTTCTACTATATTAGGTTGGCCACTAATCTCTGAGACACTTTGAAGGCTGACCTTTTGGACTTTAGTTGAGTGTTAGCCCAACACCACGTTACTAATCTATTACTAATCTACTATATGAATCGATTACCAATCTATGAAAAGAAGTTCGGCTTACTGTCGTCTTGTGGATGCTTGCTGTCGGCCACGTTCTCGCTCTACCCTTGCTCCTCACATGTGGCAGCTGTAGTTGGGTTAGGAGAGTCCTACGTCTTGACCGGAGTCAAAGAACGTATCGTGTAATGGAATGTTAAGAAATTCATCCACTTCTGCCATTCTTCCCTATAAGCCTTCTCTTTTTCTCTTCTGCCATCTGTTCGCACTACCCATGCTGTCTTTGCGAACAAATAACGAGTGCGATTAAGCGAGAGAATGCATAGAGGATCTTCTTCTTCTTGCATGACAGTGCGTGCCTAAATATCGCAAAACTGACTCTGAAGAAGCAGACTTCCGGCTGGACATTTTACCCCAACCACCGCCTTGACGTTGCCTTGTGCGACTACCTCTTTCAGGCACTAGGTTTTCAGCTAATCATCTAGGGAGACGAGACTTCGTCAATGAAGGTGACCTCGAAATGGGATCTCATTATTCTCTTTTAGAGAGTCCCTAAACTCGAACAAGTAGGTAATCTAGGCTGGATGTTGGCAGCATCTTGTCAACACAGACGGGCAGATGTCACTTACTGGAAACTAAAGATTAAACAGTATGGGAATAAATATTGCAATGTCCCAGGAATCATTGGTCAACCTGATATAATTATGGACTAGAGTCAAAAATTGACATGCTGCTGTGAAGTATGTCTCACTCACCGTTCTCAAATGATAAACATGCCCGTTCTTCTTGGAAAAATGTCATAACTACTCTTCTGCTTCAAATGTCAATATACTAATAGGCTCAAGATCTCCGAGGGGTTACTGATAGCTGACTTCAACAAATGACTGTATTCCTAGGATGACCGCATTCTTCAGCAGAACTCTATCCCTGGGGCAGTATTCCACCAGATATTTTCAACTCCACGGTCAGAAAAATTACCAATCGGTACAGCTTACTGGAAAATAAAGAGTCTGCGTAAATTGTGGGGTCAGAATGTTGGTTGATAAGTAGATGAGTCAGCCTTTACTTGACGCAGTGAAGGGGATATCATGGATGTCCCTGTGGTTAAATGTCGTTAGATGAGATCAGCAACGATAGATGACCAAGAGAAGATCTCATTTCAATCGAGGAATCGCTTCAAGAGAAAAAAAAGCGCCAGTTGTGTAGAAGAAAGAGTCTAACTGACATCTAAGTAGCAAGCCGTAAGAGCGCGTTCAGACTTCGCGATCGCGCGATCGGATCGCTTGGATCGCGCGATCGAATCGCGCGGTCTAGGGTGAAACTGAGGGTGAAACTACGGGAGGGGGTATGTGCGTATATGTTGATATGATCCTGCCTCCTCATCTCTCTGCTGTTTTTCCTTCTTTCTTCCTTTGTGTACATAACCCTCCTAATTTTAAAGGAACGTTTCGAAATATCTTTGAGTTATTTATTATTTCCTATGTAAAATAGTACTAAATATACAATATGCTAATTATTATACTGAATTTTGCATCTGAGTACGTTCAAGCGGAGTATTGAACATCTTGTTCCAAAAGTAAGACACGCAGAACTTTTAACAGCGGGTGATGTTGTTTCTCTCCCTTCCCCCGATTTTGCCAGTCCTCCAGATATTCACTTTACTTTTGTCACATTGTGTTTGCTTTGTTTGTTCTGCCATCCTCCAGGTCTATACACAACCTTTCCTTTCAACGGTTTCTGCAAACGTCAGTATTGCGAAATAGAAACTCTCTTGAAGCGATTCCTCGATTGAAATGAGATCTTCTCTTGGTCATCTATCGTTGCTGATCTCATCTAACGACATTTAACCACAGGGACATCCATGATATCCCCTTCACTGCGTCAAGTAAAGGCTGACTCATCTACTTATCAACCAACATTCTGACCCCACAATTTACGCAGACTCTTTATTTTCCAGTAAGCTGTACCGATTGGTAATTTTTCTGACCGTGGAGTTGAAAATATCTGGTGGAATACTGCCCCAGGGATAGAGTTCTGCTGAAGAATGCGGTCATCCTAGGAATACAGTCATTTGTTGAAGTCAGCTATCAGTAACCCCTCGGAGATCTTGAGCCTATTAGTATATTGACATTTGAAGCAGAAGAGTAGTTATGACATTTTTCCAAGAAGAACGGGCATGTTTATCATTTGAGAACGGTGAGTGAGACATACTTCACAGCAGCATGTCAATTTTTGACTCTAGTCCATAATTATATCAGGTTGACCAATGATTCCTGGGACATTGCAATATTTATTCCCATACTGTTTAATCTTTAGTTTCCAGTAAGTGACATCTGCCCGTCTGTGTTGACAAGATGCTGCCAACATCCAGCCTAGATTACCTACTTGTTCGAGTTTAGGGACTCTCTAAAAGAGAATAATGAGATCCCATTTCGAGGTCACCTTCATTGACGAAGTCTCGTCTCCCTAGATGATTAGCTGAAAACCTAGTGCCTGAAAGAGGTAGTCGCACAAGGCAATGTCAGGGTCAAGGCGGTGGTTTTTGCGATATTTAGGCACGCACTGTCATGCAAGAAGAAGAAGATCCTCTATGCATTCCTCTCAGCTTATCTGCCACTCGGTTCATTTGTTCGCAAGACAGCATGGATAGTGGAACAGAATGGCAGAAGTGGATGAATTTCTTAACATTCCATTACACGATACGTTCTTTGACTCCGGTCAAGACGTAGGACTCTCCTAACCCAACTACAGCTGCCACATGTGAGGAGCAAGGGTGAGGTAGAGCGAGAACGTGGCCGACAGCAGGCATCCACAAGACGACAGTAGCGAACTTCTTTTCATAGATTGGTAATCGATTCATATCGTAGATTAGTAATAGATTAGTAGTGTTGGGCTAACACGCCACTAAAGTCCAAAAGGTCAGCCTTCAAAGTGTCCCAGAAATTAGTGGCCAACCTTATATAGTAGAAAAAACATAC